AAAATTTAGAAACTGGGAACTGGTTCCCATATGTGTCTGCTCTCCAGTAAGTACTGGGAGTCGCATGAGACAGAGGTCCACAGCCTCCACTGCAGGGATGTTTGGGTAAGCAAAACAGCCCGGTTGAGTTGAGAAAGAGGGTTTACTGCAGACTGCTGTCCCACCTGAGTTTGCATCATCTGCAGAGCATTTCCCAGTGCTCCACAAAACTTGTGCTGTCATAGTTGTGCAACATTTGCTGTCACTAGCGGTGTCTGCTGGAATGGCCCCATTCCAGGCCACGCAGCTGCCAGGAGGTTTTGCAGTTCTTTGTACAGCTGGTTTGAGAAACCTCACCTCCCTAGTGCAATCCACTCTCTGCTTTTGTTGTTGTTTTTCCGTGTTGTTGCTCCACTTTTTTGTTTGCTTGGAGTTACTTTGGCGAAAAGTCAGGTGGGATCAAAACTTTGGCAAAAAGTCAGGTGGGATCAAATTTGTTAAAAAACCCAACCAAAACAAGAGGGCAGCATCAGACATTATAGCTGGAAGACTCAGGACAGACAGCAAGAGAAGATTAATTCCAGTGAAAGGAAAAAGTGTCGCCCAGGAAAGACTGTATGTAGGAGACAGATGACTGCACCTATCACGTTCACACTAGGTCATTCCAATCTATTCTCCTCCGTCCTTCCCTTATGCTGAAGCCTGTTTCTGCTCCCAATAGCACTTTTTTCCTGTAAAGTTGCACAGTAGAAGATGTCATGTTTGTGAAGCAGGGAGCAAAGGCATCCCAGAGACAAGCTGGTAGGTGGCCTACAAAGTTAGAGGGGAAAAAAAAAAAAAAAAAGGCTGTGGTTTTAATGATGCATGAAGGAGGCCTGAAAGGAAGATTTCTTAGTTTTGTGTATTTTGTTATAGCATTTCTGGAATTTTTTGTTTTAACTTGGAAAACAACAGGAATCACTAGCTGATCTCTCATTGTCTCTTTTGGTTTGGGTGAGCTACAGACTCGGTGAATTAGACCTCTTGTGTCTTCTCTCTTCATATACAAAGGTTTCACTTCACTATGTCCTGTTGTTTTAGATTTGGACCAGTTTTCTAGTTACCTCCTAGGAGGGAGAAAAAAAAAAAAAAAAAAGGCTAGAAAAGCTGATTTTTCAAAGTTAGAAAAAAGGAGGGGAGGCTCTCCCCTTTTTCCGTATGACTCCTGTTTCCTGGCAGTGCTGGCCAGTGGTTTCAGAGTTTGTGTCCTTCCTTTTGCACCAGAAATAAATGAGCAAGTGTTCAATAGCCTTTTTCTCCTCTACTCCTTCAAACTCTTACTGTTCAGAGATTAGCCAGAGCTGGGGAAGTTCTGGGCTGGGCTGCGTTGTGCACTGGAGTTGTTACCCAGGTCTCCCTCTCCCTGCGTGGGTCACCAGCAGCCGAGCCCTTGCTGGCAGCGGGGTAGGGAAGGGGACAGCAGGGTCCAGCGACTCCTGTAACGCTGCGGAGCAGGATCATACAGGGGTCCCAAGTGTCCCTTGGCAGCCTGCAGGGGGACTGCTCTGGGAATGAGGAAGGGCTGAGACGAAAGCTCCGGGCTCGATGGTTTTTAGCCCCTCTCTCTGAGAGCAGAAGGCTAAAGGTTGAGTTCAGTAGGATGTAGCAGGTTGTACTGTTGTTTGGGCTCGTCCCTGCAGTGCCCCAGATCATTGGGTTTTTCCTGCCAACTCCTTCCTTCATCTCACCCCAGCTATGCAGACGTTTCCCTCCGCTGTGGCTAGCAGGAAATATTTTCCTATTCCTGGCTGCAGTAGGAAGCAGCTCTCTCACCCTTGATGTTTGGACAACCGAACAGTCTAGCTCAGTTTCAATTTCTCCTTTTCCACGCAGCATGCACAGCCAAACCTTCCCTGTTCTCCCTCTCCAGTGCGTTCAGGGGCTGAGAGGGGAAAGATCTTCTGCTCTGTGATCCATACCCAGGCAGGACGATGGACCAGAAAATTGTTTGCCTAAGGAGCTACAAGACCTACAGTCTGTTTCTTACTGTGACAATGACTCAATCCAGGCAAATAATTTCCACGACTCAGTTTCCTCTTTTAAAACGGAGGTAGGGATTTTGACCAACCTCCAGAACAGGGAGGCAACGTGCAATTTGCTTTCAAAACGCATCAAATGGGGTTTCAGAAATGCAAAGTCCAGTAGCAGATCTAGAGGTATTTACTATCTTGTCCCTGTGCCTGGCCTTTGACCCTCGTGGATGCAGCAGGGGTGGGATCAGGACCCGCTGTATCCACAAGTCTTTGAGAACAAACCCAGCCAGCAGTGGAGGCTGCGGCAGAGAGATGATTTCTCGCTTCAGCAGAGGGCAGTGGTGTCTCCTGAACAGATAAGCATTTCAAAAAAAATACCACAAAGCCTGCAGACTATAGAAATCCCTCTCTCTGTCCTTTCTTCACTTCCCTCTCTTCTTCTTTTGCAGACTGGTTTCCATGGGTGGTCAATGGGCAAGAACTGGAAAGTGCAACTGGTAAGTATTACAGGCATGTTATGTGCTAAAGGCTGCTGGGGTGGCCCAGTTGTCCTGTGTAGTTGCAGCCTGGTTTATTGCAAATGCTCTTCTTTGTTTCCTTGCCTCCGAAGGGGCGAGCTTGCCTTTCCGCGAAGATTAAACAAGCACTCCAAGACAACCTGCTAAGTGTTGTGTGTTCTTTGCAAATAATTCAGTAGTGTTGGGGTCCGGAACGCTTAGCTGAAGCCATGAAGTTATGTTCCCAGTCAAGGGCTGTGGGAGATCCATGGGAGCTGATAACTCTTCAGCCATGAGATGCCCGGGCAACTCTACTCAGGAAAATCTCAAGAAAAGGGTGCACAAGTGGCATGGTGCTTTAGCAGTGAGGCCATTGAGAAAGAATATTGACTGGTCTTCTTGCTGACTGCGGTGTTGGGGGTGAATTTTTTTATCCCTCTGGACCTTTTTCCATTTCTGTGACATGGTAAGATACAATGAAAGTATGTTTGCATCATACTTCAGCACCACAAAGGCCTGCCTTTTCTTCAAGCTGGAGCCTCTGGCTAAGCCATCAGGCATCTCCCAGCTATGATCCTGTCCTGTGCAATACCCAGGGCTTCCCAGAAATCTGTTCAGAAGCCAGTCCAAAACGTGTCCACCAAGATTCCCTTTCCTTCACCCTTTATCCCTTCATCATACCTACCCCAGCTTTGCCATCGGTTACCTTTCAAAGAAACTCAGCTGCTGATGAATTCCTGCAGTCAAGACAAGGTTCTGGAGTTGCCTCCCTCCTTCTCTGCAGTGGGTGCCTCGGTTGTCCGTCCTACTGCTGCGGGAACCATCAGCGCCTTCGTTTCAGATGTTTCTTGCCCATCGAGGTGCCCACGGCGGCCATATCTGAGAAGTTGGAATATGAATCCAGAGCTCAATAAGGGTTGATGCAACATGGGCACTAGGAAATGCAGTCCCAGGCCAGCCACTGAAAAGGGAGGTGGATATGGGTGGGATGGTGGTGCTGTGTTTATGTATTTACTGGGTTGGTTCCCAGAGTCTCATGAGCCTGCCGTGGTGGCCCCCGAGGTAATTCAAGCTAGCTATGGCTACGTAAGGGACCACAAAGTAAAGGCAAGCTCTCTCAAGGACATTCTCTCTTTTCCAGGTGAAGTTAGCACCGACTCTCTTATCAGCACCGCCGGTAAGCTCCTATCTCTTGGCAACTTCAAGCTCCTTTTCCCCTTTTTACCTTTATTCCTGCCTAGATAGCTCCAGAAATTACCCGTTGTGCTCAGAAACATCTCTTCCCCACTTTTGACATCTAGCAGTGCTCTTCCAGCATGTATGGCTATCTGGAAGTCCTTTCTGCGGAGAGAGGTGAATTTCGGGGGGCTTAATGGCCTGTTCTCCAAGGAAATGCCAATCTCAGCTGGTGTACCAGGGCTCTCCGCAGCTGTTTGCGCTGCGGAAAGCCGTGAAATCCGAAGGTCACGCATCCTAGGCTTCCGGAGGAAGTTGCAGGAAGGAAGAACTAGGTGATGAGGGAGAGAAATTGGTCAGGTCCACCAGTTAACTGGGCAGCACGGGGATATGGGTTGTGTGTGTGTCTGCTGACAGCTGGCAGCCATGCGTGAGTGCTCAGGAGACAGAGGTGGCCAAAAAAAAAGAAGACAGAAATAAAGTACTGAGCAGTGGTGGGATGGGGAGGTGGAAATACTGTTCTTCTCGTAGTCTTCCCTGCCGTGCCTGCGGCTATGTCACTGGAGGGCAGCAAAGCGTACGCGAAAGGCAGGGTAGATGGAGGACACTTGAAGATGAGCACTTGCAGCATGCCATCTGCCTCCTCGCAGAGCCAAGCCTTGCTCTGGAGATAGGCCCAGGAGAAGGACACAGAGCTGATGGGAGTGTGTGCATTTGCAAGACAGACTAATCCTGCTGTACTCACAATGGTCTATGGAGGAGAAGGCCGGAGGCTCAAGAAGGAGGCTTCCCACTTTTTCTGGACGAGTCCTGTTTTGAATCCGGCACCGCTGGCCTCGGCGATGGTTTCTGTCTCTCAAACGCATCCCTCTGAGGTGGTGGGGACACCAGGCAGGGCAGGGAGAGAGAGAACACATCTGGTTGATGATACGGTTCAAAAGACAAAGGAGAGGCAGCAGCAGTGCTTGGCTGTTGCTGGGAACTATGTTGTGTGCGTAGGAGAGCTCATCTGAGAGTGGTGTCCTGTCCTCCAGAACAGCAGTTCCACAGTCTCTCCTCTGCCCTGGGACTCTGCTCATCAGCTGGCTAGAGTATTGTGGGTCAAGCTGACCAGGTGTCATGAGACAGCACTGGAGGAGAAACATGGAAGGACAATATTGTATATGCAAGGCGCACGATCTTCCTAGTGGGGATGGGAGGTGAAAGCAACCCGTGTCAGTCTCGTGTTCAGTGTATGAGACCTGACAGTCTGTAGGAGAGTATCACAGAATGTTAGGGATTGGAAGGGACCTCAAAGGATCATCTAGTCCAATCCCCCTGCTGGAGCAGGACCACCTACACCAGATCACACCAGAACACGTCCAGGCGGGTTTAGAACATCTCCAGAGAAGGAGACTCCACAACCTCTCTGGGCAGCCTGTTCCAGTGTTCTGTTATCCTTATTGGGAAGAAGTTCTTCCTCATGTTTAAGCGGAACCTCCTGTGTTCCAGCTTATATCCATTTCCCCTTGTCCTGTCATTGGATGCCACTGAGAAGAGCCTGGCTCCATCCTCATGGCAGTCACCCTTTCCATATTTATAAACATTAATGAGGTCCCCCCTCAGTCTCCTCTTCTCCAAGCTGAAGAGACCCAGCTCCCTCAGCCTTTCCTCAGAAGGGAGATGCTCCACTCCCTTCATCACCTTTGTGGCCCTGTGCTGGAATCTCTCCAGCAGTTCCTTGTCCTTTTTGAACTGAGGGGCCCAGAACTGGACACAATATTCCAGATGTGGCCTCACCAGGGAAGAGTAGAGGAGGAGGAGAACCTCTCTCGACCTACTAAGAGTAGATAAGACTTGGTGTCCGGATTGAACTGGCCGTGGCTAACCTACATCTAAACCTGAAAAGACTCAATGTGAAGCCTTTACAGCAGACTTTGGCTTCAAAACACTTATTGTTGAGGGATCAAGAAGAAACTCTTCACAAGGAATGTGCCATGGGACCCATCACTGCTCTACAGCGTCCCATCAGCTCTAGGACACCCAGTGTATTCAAAGGGAAAGCCTGCAGTTGCTCTGAGAAGTCAGATAACATCGTGATCAGTGTTGTCTATGAACCAGATGTGGGATGGCTACTGGTCAGGAGTGGTGAGCCATCGGCAGAACTGTGGGAGTAGGAAAGAAGCTGAAAGCTCAAATTACCATCTTTCAGAACATCTCTTTTTTCCAGCTGCAGCTGTCACACCACCCGTGCTTCTTAGTCCTGGTGAGTTTGTTCTCAGTTCACAGCCAGATGTTGCAGACCCCTTTTCCCTCTCCTCGCCCAGTCCCTTGCACACCCAGAATCCTGCCTTCCCTGACTGCCCCTGACCATGGCCCCGACACCCAAAAGACTTCTCTCTACGCCCATCTGTTTTGTCTGTGCTTCTGGCTGACACTATGGCAGTAAGAAGAAGCACAAGTCCTCTGTAACTGCTGATGAAAACTTGCGCCTGGCAGCCAGTCTTCCCAGTTCCTTTCCAGTGTGTCACTGGGTAAATAATAAAATGTCCTGGTTTCCTGTGGTACAGGTGGGTTGCTTTATCAGAGGGAACGACAAACGGACCCCCTTTTGGCCCCTTGTCATGGACGTTAAAGAACCAGCAGTCTGGGAATGGAGTCACTGTTCCTCAGGAAGATGCAGTCACAGGCTCCTTCACTTCTTGTCTAGATGGAAGGCAATTAGAGCAGCTAAAGACATTTACCCAACCTTTTGAGTTACAAATCAGATGCCCTTCCAGTGTAACTTTGGACAGTAGTGGTAATGCTTTATGGGAAAGCCTGGGCAGGTTTTTAGCCTTGTTGACGGTAGCTGGCACTAGATTCGTATCGGATTTGTACCTTCTCTTATGCTTTCAGATCAGTAACAGTGAAATCTTTTCCACATCAGAAGTTACAATGGAGTGCTCTTTAAAGAGCTCTCCAGTTATGTTACTGGAGTAAGCTGATGCCTAGGAAGGAATCATGGGAAATCACACTAACTTTGCTACCCTCTGTCTTCCAGTTCAGTCTGACAGTGAAACCACGACGGCTTCATCAGGTATGTTTAAGTTTGCTCCATGCACCCCCTCCCAGACCCACGTTCCCTCACCCTGTTACCTCTCCAGGCAGATATTGGCCAAGCACTGAGCTTCGTCTCCTGGAAAATTCCCTTCACGCTGTTCCTTGAGAATCACACTAACTTTGCTACCCTCTGTCTTCCAGTTCAGTCTGACAGTGAAACCACGACGGCTTCATCAGGTATGTTTAAGTTTGCTCCATGCACCCCCTCCCAGACCCACGTTCCCTCACCCTGTTACCTCTCCAGGCAGATATTGGCCAAGCACTGAGCTTCGTCTCCTGGAAAATTCCCTTCACGCTGTTCCTTGAGTTAGAAGTACTGGAGAGTGGCAGCGGTGGAAGCCGAGGTCTTCCCTTGGGTGGGAAGCCCAGGAGGGGAGGAATTGGCAGATCACCAGACCAGACACGCTGGGTCAACATTCTGTCGTTTTCAGTGGCCACGACCTGGCACTGCAAAGGGAAACGCAAGAAAACCCATCATAGTTGATTGCCCAGAAAAGAAAGGAACCAGATTTGTATCCTGAGGTGTGAGATTACAGATCTCGTAGAAGCACGTGCCTTAAACATGCGACTACAGTTTGCCATTTTGTTTATTGGTGTCTGCCCCCTTTACAACGTGTGCCTTCTGCACGGAGGATTCCCAGAAGGCTCGTTTTGCACTTCCCCTTCCTTTTGTTTTATGAGCCAAGGGGATGAGAAACGTCTGCCTTATTTTCCTCTTCTCTCCACCATCCCCATCTCTCACAAGAGGGTGGAAAACAGAGGCTAGAGGCTTTCCCTGGAAGCCTGGAGGTCAGCACTTAGTGATGAAGTTATAATTGTGCCAGAACGAGTGCACCTGCCGATGACGTGCCTCCGTGTGTGTGTGTGTTCCCAGACTGTCGTGAAGAAAAGTTCCCCTGCATGCGCCTGTACTCGGTGCACAAGCCGGTGAAGCAGTGCATCAGCTACCTCTGTGTCACCAGGTGAGAAACCAGCAGTCCCCAGTAAGAGCCCTACACGCTCTCCAGAAATGACATGTCCGGTTCGGCAGTTGTTTTCTTTGAAGACCAGAAGTTCCCTCAGGGAACCGGTTGGTGAGATGAATCCTGTCCTCAGAGTGCCCTTGTAGGGCGATTAATTAAAACAGCACAATAATTATTATCTGTGCAGCACTAAGGAGCTGTAACGTGCCCTCTGTTGTAATCCCTGTTTGAGGTATTTGGCCATTTCATCAAGTCTTGGCAGAGATGACTTTCCTATTGACAACAGCCTTGTTCTAGACTCACTAATCCTAAAAATTTAGGATTTGCCTCTTCAGTGAATACACATGTTCATCGCCTGCATCCCTTTTTTGTTTCTTTGGGTCCCTGTGCCTCTCACTACTGTCCTCGGCGTGTTCCTGGTGATCCCTCAGCGTGCGTCGCATGTACGTCATAAACAAGGAGGTGTGCTCTCGCATCGTCTGCAAGGAGAACGAGGTCATGCAAGGTGAGTGCTAGCACAAGGCAGCCTAGAAGAAGAGCTGCAGCCATCTGATAGGGTCTCCAAGCTAACTAATTACCCAACCGCAACCCATGTGTAGTAGTTTCCCTGGACTTGGTGTGGAGGAGCTCTAATGCAATGCAGCTTTGCATCCAGCATGCATGCCGTGAAAAATACTGGGAAGTAGCTATCGTACCACCAAGAATCATAGAATCATAATATGAGAACTCTGCCTTCCTCCTTTTTGATCATGGTCTACTAGCCCCAGAGAACCCTTACTCAAAGCTGCATTCCTTTGAGGTTAAAGAGCGACTCTCAGTATTTCTGTTCATGAACAGAAACAGGATCCAGTCCAGATTTTTTATGCAGTCTTCGCTGCAGCAAAATACGAGTGATTTTAATACGTATTGTACATGAAAAAAGCCAGAAGGAAATGAATAAAAGCCTAAGGACGCGTCCACTTGCCTCATGCGCGTGAGGATTCAGCAGTTCCAAGAGTCCCTGTAGATGCAGTGAAGGATGTACCTCTAATTATTCTGGTGGTGAAGAGTTTGAAGGAAGCTTTGCTTATCTGTCAACATGTGTGTGTCTGCTATGTCTTCAGATGAGATCTGTCGCCAGCTGGCTGGCCTTCCTTCTCGACGTCTCCGCCGATCCGGGCAACCCCTGCATCTCCCTTGCAGACAGCTCCTGGAGCAGCAGCGCAGAAGGCCTGATGCTCTGTGAGCTACCGACAGGAGAGAAAAAGGAAGGGAGAGAAGAGAAGTCATCATCCACTACCTACAACCCAAGACAAGTTCTTCTTGCTTGTGATTTCCCCACCGTTTCCTTGCTTCTCTTTCTCCCACATCCTCTCCTTCAGGTGCTTAAGTACCCAGAGTCTCCTCTCTACCAGTTTGTCACAGTGGCTGTTGTCATCTTCTAAATCTGTCGCAGAGGATGTGGGATGCTCCACTCCTTTCTCTCAAATTCGCTATGGCAGGCCATGAGCTGCTCATTTCCCAGAGGTCCTTATAAATGTGCTGTGTCTTCTCTTGCTTTGCCCCTGCAGAGCGACAAGCATGGGGGCAGGATGTAGTCCTCTCCACCGGTACAGATGGCCTAAGCTGCGTCTCCTGGGGAGGAGTGCCAGCCTTTATGCCCCAGGACTCCTGGCCTAGGTTTCTTGTGTGGCACCGGTATGAGTTTGGGTATGGTTAGACAGCCTGAACATCTCTGGTCCTCCTGAGCCACTGAGGTTGCTGTGTGATGATAGCACAGCCTCCTCCTGTGTCTGCTGGCCTCAGCGGAGTGATGGAACTGAAAGATGAGCTGTCCCCAACCCAAGGCAAACCTCATTGTCCCTGTATGGCAGCAGATCATTTATAACTCCCTCTGGGAAGTTCTTTGTCTCAAGGCCATTGCCTCCCTCACACACAACTGCTACCGAAAGGAAGAATTCTGGATTTAGCATGGTGTTATATTGTTCTCAAGAAGATTGTATTGGAACAGAGTGCTCCCTCTTCCTCTCCTCTCCCCTATTCTGTCCCTTCCCATTGAAGAAATCTCTTGATGCCCATTCCCTGGCAAGTTCCAGGGAGCAGTAAGCATGACTGCCTCTGCTCCTAAGCCCAAGAGAGACCACAAAGAACCTGCATGTCCTCACAGAACTGGGTACTTGCAATTAATTACCTTGTCCTGGTGACTTGTCTTGGCCTAGCTACCTCCACACTCTCCACCTGCTGAGCTTGTTTTCAACTTTTCCACTTGAGTTCCTGCCTCCTGACTTGGGAGCTCCTGCACAAAGCAGAAAGGAGTCCCAAACTGGAGTAGGATATGGGAGAGGAATTCTTGTCTGGGATCCCTGGGTTTTCCTGCAGGTTCTCTGGCTGTGATGACCTGCACAGAGCCAGGTGCTGGTGGGGAGGTAGACATATCTGCAGGTATAAGCATAGAGGCAGGCCAACCTGGGGAATAGTATTCACCCTGGTAGCACAGAACGTCTGTGGTCTGCTCATGAACTTTGTTTTCCAGATAAATGGAAAACATTACCAGGTATATGGGCAGTTTTCACGACGAGACTGGGTAGGGTGAGTGGGGAAGAACTGTCTGAAGTGCATTAATCCCTTACGTGACGCTCAGCGGCGTGATTCTGCGGGGCGGCGGAGCTGAACAACTGAACTTAGTGCAGCGGAAGATCAGCAAGACCCTGTCTCTAGGATCCCTAGCGTTGTTCCCAACTAACAGAAAGCCAGTTTGCTAGAGTGGGCATCCACCCTCTCCTCGTGATACACTCTGCTGCACAGAGGCAGACGCCTCCAAAAATTGGAGAGCAAAGCAATTAATGTAAGAGCCTCTCCCTGGGACTTGGATTTCTGCTGCGTGCAGCAAGAAGCTGGCTGCGTCCTCTGTGTAGGGGAAGACACCCCTGTGCAGGCACAGATTTGTTCCATACAAGGTCAAAATTGACTGTAGATCGGCTAAATCTCTCCATATTAATCCAGTATACAGGAGGTGGAATTCCAAGTCATGCAGTAGCTGGAATTTCGTCCTACACATAGAGGCATAGCACACCTACGCAGAGGATGATACTCCTCTTGAGTACTTGAGGCTCATGAGAGTAGGGATGATGGAGGAATTTCCCTGTCCTGAGTGCCTGCATGTTTCTGTAGAGAGGAGAGCACTGGGAGCTTGATCTCAAAGACATTCAAGCCACTGGTAGCCCTTGACTTCTGTGGTGGGACACCTGTGGAATTTGCCTGTGTGGAAGAAGGTAGGATGGAGATGAGATGTTCGAGGGAGCACTTGGACATTGGACTGGGCCAAGTCTCCACTCTGTATTTAGAGTTGAATGTAAGCTGATATAGATATATAACTGTATAACATAGCTACTGTACAGTATATGGAAACTTAACGTTCATACGGTTTGGGGAATGGTGAGAAGCCTTTCTGTCTCTTGCTTGCAGCGGGGACGGGAAGAGGTGCTCCTCTCCAAGAGAGCACTGTTTTAATGCTAGAGTCCATATAAAGCACACAAAAATATTAAAAGAAAACTTATTTCCTCTTACTCTTGGCAACTCCCATGTGTTTGGGTTTATTTGTCTTGAACTGTATTTCCTTCAGATTCGTGGGCAGACTTGACCCCAGCCCAAATCTGTCATTTGGACCTCCTTATCCCCTGCGAGCCCAGTCCTCAGCTGCCACCCTCCCTTCACTCATCAATCACAGGTCTTCCTAGGAGGTCATTATTTTTTCTAGAGATACAGAAAATTATCTTTGGCATTTTTTTTTTTCCATGGATAGCTATGCTGGATTTTCCTGACAGTCAATAGCTGCTGAGCACAGGGAAAACTCCTCCCAGCCCATGAGATTTGTGCTGAGAATGCATCTTTCCACCCTGCACGTGCCGTGACTTGCTGGTGGAGAATTGCAATCTCCAAGTAAAATGGCAAGGTGGCTGAGACACGAGAAGAGCTGTGACAAATTGTCTCTCAAGCAAAGAGGAATTTGTTCACTAGAGCCATTTGGCTCAGTAATGGGAATAACTGGAAGACTGCATTAAAAATTACACATCTGGGTCAAAAAGATGAGGAAAATTTCTCTTTCATTGAATTTCTGACTTTTTGCATCGATTCATCAGGCACTGACTGTACATCGTGTTTTGGTGGAAAACACGGAGCGCTCAGAGCATGGGGGACTCCAGGCAGCGTCCCAACGTGCAAGCAGTCAAGCCTGCAGTTAGATGGTATTTCCAGAACAAAAGTGGCTGTGCCCCAAATCGCCCATTCAACTGCCTCTGACAGCATCCCATAGTTCTTCTGGCCTGAACCCCACGGTGCAGGTTACTGCACAACGCTGTCCCTGGAATCGGCGCTTCTCCCCGGCTGTCGCTGCCGAGCCCCTGTCTCCGACTGTAAAAATGAGAAGAGCTTCAGCTCGAGTGACTGCAGATGCTGCTCCCATCTGCACAGCCCTGCTCTGCCTCTCGAGCTCTTGACCTTTGCGGTGTCCTTCTGCCGGCCCCTTCCACCGGCTGTGCGAGCGGAGCACAACACGTGCCATCGACTTCTTGGAATTCGGTTTATTCTTCCCCATCCTTACGGGATCGGAGTCTGCAGGCAGGTCTCCCCATCTTCATTAGCACTTACCATATACAGATTTATCTCCCCTGCCATTTCAACCTCAGCCGTGGGGCCGCGTTGCTGGTCCCTGGAAGTTGCCTTCTCCTGTAAGCTGGGGAGATGGTTTTGGATACAGCTCCAGCGGGGCTGTTCCTCATGCAGCTGGGTTAGCCGCAAAGTGAGCTGCCAGAGTCCTGTTTTAGAAGCAGCATCTAGAGTGTGTGGCTGATTTTCATAAGCTCTTCTGACCTGGAGCAGGAGTTAGATGGCCATTAGGGTCAGATCAGAACGTCCTTTGGTGCAGCTTTCGTCTGTTGCCTCTATTTTTTTTTTTGCTGTACACCTCTGAGCAGACTCTGTCTCCATCTCCCCTACAATACTGCTGCAGTTTGAAGAACGTGGCAAGAAAAAACATTTAACTCCTACAAAGCCCGAGTCTTACTGCAAAACAAGGAACTTTAATTATTACAATTATCTTTCTTTGGGGAAACTGTGGCAAAAACCGCAAAACACGACGAAAACCAGTGGTTTGATTAACGGATTGACACTGTGTCCCCGAAGCAGGACACTCCATGCTCGTACAGCATCTGCTTCTTGTGGGCTCCCTTCTCGGCCTGAGGCACTTTCGATTTCTCCGCCTCGGGTCTGGTGGCCGTGGGTTTCACTGTTTCACCCCTTGCTGGCTCTTTGCTGGTTTTGGTCTCTCAGCTTTCAGACACTCTAAGCTCTTGGTTTCTTTCTTGGCCATGGTGGCGGCCAGTTTCTTGGCTTTCCTTGGGATTTCCTTCACAGCCATAGCTAATCTGGGCTTCTTGGCAGTGCCAGTCAAGGGTCAGGGGGGTTCTCAGCCTTTGCTGCCTTCTTGGCTCCCTTCCTCTTGGCTTGTTGTTGAGTGTAAAGGATCTAAAAGGACCAAGTCTTCTTGTGCAGCCCTTGTCCAGGCTCCTGGCCCCAGCCTGGTGTGGCTGTTGTCCTTCTGTACTGCATAGACATCAGTTCCCTTTCAAAACTTCTTCTGTGCTTCTTGGAGACAGTCATTGTCCTCATAACCAGCCCCCCTGGAGACTAGGGGCTTGCAGGAGTTGGATCCTCCTGCCACCTTCTCCAGCTTCTTCGCCAATGCCTTAGAGGCTGGAGCAGCAGTTGCTTCAAACATGACAGCCAGCACAGCCTACCGAAGCCTTGAAGCCTTGACCAAGGTTTTAGTTTCACACTGATGCACATGTCAGCGTGCCACCTCTGGTTTAGGGTGCCTTGTACCTGCAGAGCCTTTCCATGCTGAAGGCATTCCTATGGGGCTTTACTGCTCCGACTGTCCCCTTGTAGCACCAAAGTTGATATTGGAAAACACACCCACTGGAAAATGCTCACATCTCACCGAGTGTCCTCTCTGGTGCCCAGATAGCACAGATCAGCTGGAGCAAGCTGCGTTGGCCATTATTTTGGCTTGACAAATAAAACCTGTTTTCTTCCACAGCCCAGCCTTGACCTCCAGCCTGGGCCTTGCTGGAAGAGTCCAAGAGAGTTTGTTTTCTGCCTGATGCAGTGTGAACACAGTCACTTTCGAGACTCTCCACACCGTGGTTACAACTCATTTTCTCATCAGCTCTGCTTGAGCCCAGCACCATCATCACACCATTTGTTTTGGCTCCTCAGCCGGTATCTTTGTGGTTTTCCTTTGGTTTAGTTCAGGAGAGGCATCTGAACTCTTCCTAGCCTCTGCAAGCCCCTTTCCCGTTTCTGTTCTCTGAGAATCCCTAGGGGCACATGCATCAGGAAAGATTTTTGCC